GTCTTGCGCTTAGACACAGGGCGCTCATGTAAGCACTGGATCCCAAGACCCCAGCATAGAGCCCGGTGCAGCTTACCACAAGGTAAAGAGCCCCTGACCCAGCTACTTCCCTCAGAGTTGGGGTAAGGGTCTCACCACAACCCTGACAACGTTTTCCTTGCTAACATCCTGAGCTCTGGTCAATTTCACGCTCTACCCTGGCACTACCGCTCTGTGAAACTCCTGATTTCTGCTCACGGGACAGGACACTGATGTGGCTCTAGGAGACTGAGGTCCATGAAGTCCGTTACAGTCCGTCCTGGCCTTCGCCACTTTTGTGGTTTGGGGATCCCTTGGCATTCCGTGTTACCAGCAGCCAGTTCTGTCTGGCCTCAGGTGAGATATAACCCAGAGAATCGTTTCTGCATAGACACTGGGGACTGAACCAAGTCACTGCTCCTTGAAGTCAGGGGTGGCAGCGTCCGTCAGACCACAGTGCTTGGCTGAACCCAGCAGACCCAGGAGGCCTCAGGGCTCTGCACTGCAGTCCTGCTCTCTAACCCAAGTCCTGTGTTCGGTCACTCCAGTCTGTGGCTCAAACACCAGGCAGATCATAGTCATGTCCAGAGGAAGGGAGAGGCCCACGGGTCTCCGTTCCAGACAGGAAGGAAAGAAGGTATCGGCTAGGGCACCACTAAAGAGGTGTCTTCTCTTCGCATTTTTAGGGATGGGGTCCATGGCTGTCAGGTTGCCCCTCCCTGCAGCTGATTTATTTAAAGGTGTGTCAGCACCAAGACCTGATGAGAAGCTGGCCCCTCCTCTCTGCTGACGGCAGCCTTGCTAATAATTCATTTTTTAGCTCATTAGCTAACAGAGGCCATGAGCAGTGGCCCTCCAGGGCTTTGGATGAGGTGAGGTGATCTACTGCCGGCTCCGCCGCTCTTGAACTGGCCTTCCTTGGGGGTGACGGAGCACATAGCCAAGGGACCTCAGAGTCACAGTTGGAGCTGCTGTGCCTTGACAGTGTGGTTTCCTAGGCTGGTGGTGACAGAACATTCTGTGGAACAGAAACCATCGTCAGAGCAGTGGGAAGGCGGGCTCGGCACATGGTGAAGCACCACGTGCCGGGCTGTGAAGGAGATCTCGCCCAAGTCTGAGGTTGGAAGACCAAGATCACCGCATGGCACATGGTAGTTGGTGGGCAGGGCTGGTGTCTGGTTAGGCCTTCTTCCTGGCTTGAATGTGTGCGGGGCGGGGGGGGAGGGGGCAGACAGACAGAGACAGATGCACATGCATACTGGTACCTCTTGCTTTTTATGGATTCCCACCATAGTGGTTCAGAAAGCCATCCCTAAGGCCTCAGTTAACCCGACCTGCTCCCTGAAGACCTTGTTTCCAAACCCAGCCACTCCAGCAGCTAAAGCCTCAACATGTGAACTTGGATTCAGCCGGTCTGTTTGCTGATATCTGAGGAGCCTTAGGCCTCTCAGGACTGGGTGTCCCCAGACTTAGCCCTAACCATGCTGACAACCACAGGATGACTTAAATCAGCCAAGCCCTCTTTGCCCTGGGTCTACAGGACCTCCACACCCTCAGGGGACTCAAAAGACACCAGTGGGCTTCACTAGACCAAGAGCAACCAATCTCCCTATGGTGAGTTCTGGGACTTTTAATAGTAACAGGAAACCACAGCTTAGAAACCTCCAGCGCCAGCAAGCATTTCAGCACGCCAGCTACACGCTACCACGTTGGTGTGTGCTGTGACTAGAGATGGAGTCTCTTCAGTTAGCTGTTGTAGAAGGGCTGCTGTGGTCGGTGTGTTGTCCACATGTGTTACCTTGGGTCTCTGAACAGCCCTGCCTTGAGTAAGTGTCCCCACACCTATTTTACAGATGAAAATGGGTCCAAGAAGGGAACAGTAATGGTGTGCACCATCCAGAAGAGAAAAGCCAGAGCAGACCCAAGATCTGTAACAGAGAGAGTGGCCTCACAGCACCACATCACCAGGGTTCCCCTTCCCTCCCTGCAGCCACTGGCGAAAGCTCATGGAGCCACACATTGGGGCATACTTGCCTTGGTGGGCAGTGACAGAAAACAGGGTCTAAAATAACAGGAGTACTTGAGCATTAATTGGCGGGGGGGGGGGGGCTGAATTTGTACCCATAAAGCCCCACTGCCCTGGGCCAGGCTCTGTTTTCGTACTAATTGGATTTCAGCTACTAATTAAAAAAAAAAAAAAAAAAAAAAAAAAAGGTCAGATACAAATCAGTGTCTTTGCTTGGCTTTCTGGCCCCCTTAGAGGCCAGGGGACCCAGAAGTCAGTATTGCAAGCTTCTGTTTTGAAAAAGAACACCAAGATTCATTAAAGAGCCATGATTCCATCTGATGCTAAAGCCGCATTGAGCAGGTCCTGGCGATATCCTTGGTGAGAGACAAGGGTCTGTGTTCAGTCTGTGGCTGGGGTCTTTGAATATGAAAATGAAATTTTAATCATTGCAGTTAAAACCAGAGTTCCAATGTTAAGTTTATCCCTTTACCCCTGAATGAATTGGCAATGACTTAAAATCAATTGGAGCATAGTAAGACAGTCTGATGTGAATGTCTACCCAAAATGAGAGTTAGCAAACTGGAACCTGCGTGTCTGGGCAGCTCCTACCCCATTAGCCTTTCTTACTCAATCCTTTCTCTTCTCCTGATTCCTCAACCACGTCAGCAAATGTGTAGCAGATTATAAACAAGGTTTCGGGACAGAAGCACCAGGGCTTGTCTCTCCAGAACGCCAATTTCCTGAATGTGCTGTGCTTGTCCCTGTCTAACTGCAGACTTGCATGAGGGCTTCGCCAGAGTTGTGGGAGCCCATCCATCTCAGCTGTAGCCAAGTGTTTGTCCTGGAGATTTCTGAATGAAGAGTCGGGGGGGTCACTCAAGGGTCATTCACATGTACCAGGAAGTGAAGCAAAACTAATCCAGATTTACTCCTGGAAGAATCTGTTTACCTAAGTATTTAAAAACAGATTAGGGCTAACCGGACACTAGATCACCAGGCGCTATGTAAACACTGGGAAAGGTGTAAAGAGGCCTTTCTTCTGAGCGGGGAAGCAGAAATGTAATGAGTTTTCTTTCTGGAGGGTGGGGAAGGTGACTGATTCCTCCCTGTGGCTGGTAGCTATGTACTCTGATTATTTCAGGAAGAGGGTCTGGATTTTAGGAGACGCCGGTGTGAAGCTGTGTCTTACTGAAGCCTGGGTGTAATTACAGTCTCTTTGTCTGTCTGTGGCTGGCTGGCTTTCTGCATCATCCTTGTTAAAAAAAAAAGTCTGTGTCCCAACCTCACAGAGTACACTGCAGGCTACTTGGAAATTCTCTAGAGCGACTCATGAAACCTCAGCTTCTCCTGTTTAAATGTTTGCCCCCACTCCTGTCCTAGAAATGCTGAGTTCAGTGTCTGTTCTGTCCTCTTTGGTTTGGTTTGGTTTGGTTTGGGTTTGGGTTTGGTTTCTGGCAAACCAGCCCCCAAGTCTACCCTTAACAGCCCAGACGATGTGTCCAGCTCACCTGGGGCCTTTCTTTTGGATCTGTATAAACACACCTTGTTGGGGGAGTTTTCTTTCCCCACCTGCCTCTCCGCATCCTGTCTCCTCTTCTATCTCTGTGATGCATCTCCTGTGATGAGCTGGGATCCTGTCCTCTTTAGGCTCTGGGGGTTCCTGTCCTCCAGGTTGTGCTGGGGATTGGGGACAAGCCACCATGTCCATCATGCATCTGGGCTCTATGCTCCAGAGTCCACACCCTTCCAGCTTCACCCTGCCCCCTGCCCCTGGCTTTGCTCTGGCCTCAGGGGCTACCCACTTCCTTCCTGGGCTGGGCCCTGGTACACTTTCTCTCAGGAACCCTAATAGCTCCCTTAAGGAATGACATTCTGTTACCTCCCCTTAAGCCTCTTCCAAATCTCTAAAGAGATCACAGATGTGTCTATAGCAGTAGGGCATGCATGGGCCCTTCCCAGAGGACCCACTGCAGTGATTCCTTCTGGAGGTGGTGGGACACCCTGGGGGCAGTGGCTCGCACATGCCCTGAGAGGGCACCAATACCCTCTGATGGAGCCACTGCTGTCCTGTCTCTGGAGCATAAGGCAGCTCACTTGGGGGTTGAACATAAACACACCTTGCTGGGGACTTCTCCCCTTGCTCACAGATCCCTGAGCCTTTGGGTTATAGGGTCTCTGCTGGATAGTTTGTGTCAACTTGACACACCTGGGTTGAGGGAGCCTCAGTTGGGGAATTGCCTTCATTGGACTGGCCTGTGGCCATGCCCATGGGGCACCTTCTTGATGAGTAATGTGTGAGGGCCTAGCCCACTGTGGGTGGTGCCACCCCTGGGCAGGTGGGCCAGGGGAGCAAGCCAGTAAGCAGCCTTCCTCCGTGGCCTGTGCTCCAGCTCCTGCCTCCAGTTTCCTGCCCCGATTTCCTACCTTGGGCTCCCAGATGCACTGTGACCTAGGATATATAAGCTAAATAAACCCTTTCCTCCCCAAGTTGATATTGGTCAAAGTGTTTTGTCACACCAATGGAGAAACAAACTAGGACAGGGTCTGTCCCTGCACTGTGCTGAGCCTTTGGGTTATAGGGTCTGTCCCTGCACTGTGCTGATGCAGGCAGCAAGGTGAGGCTGCAGCTTCTGCACTAAAGGGAAAGAGACCAAGCCTGGTGGTAGGTAGGCCATCCACACACCTCATGGTTTAGAAGCCCCAACAATGGCTGGCTGAACAGCACCCAGAGGTTCTGACCCAGGGGCTGGGGAAGCTGCATTTTGGGTAAGTTCCTAGGAGGGAGGGTGCTGCAGACAGTAAAGATATCACTTCAGAGCCACGAATGAAGCCTTCCCGAGGGGACTCCCTTGTTCCAGTAGGAGACTGACCTCACCCCGTTCCCCATGCCTCCTGACCACAGCAGCTGCTGGATCGTGGGCTTTGGTTCGATTTCCTTGCCCAGTTGTGAGTGTACCTGTCTGTGGTTTTACAGGGAAGAGAAGGAACGGTGGATCAGGGCTAAGTATGAGAAGAAGCTCTTCCTGGCCCCGCTGCCGTGCACAGAGTTCTCCCTGGGCCAGCAGCTGCTGCATGCCACCGCTGAGGAGGACCTGCGGACCATCATTCTGTTGCTGGCCCATGGCTCCCGGGACGAGGTGAATGAGACCTGTGGGGAAGGAGACGGCCGCACTGCACTGCACCTGGCCTGCCGCAAGGGCAACGTGGTCCTGGCACAGCTGCTGATCTGGGTAGGTGACTGGGATGCCCACAGCATGCCCAGCAGAGGGCAGAGCCGCCATGGGCTTGGTCTGCTCCACCAGCCTCTCTCCTGTAGAATGCCGCTGTGTCTCATCTGCACAGCTGCCGACAGGACTGGCCTGCGCAAGGGTACGAACACGGGAGAAGCAGGGATGGCTGGACATGGGCCTTCCCTGCACGAAGCCCATGGAACACGCCGACCGTGTGCAGGAACAAGAGTTCTCTTTGTGAAGCATTTGCTAGAGTTTCTGAAAGTGTCTTTTTGAGGACCTCGGTTGCTCAAGCATGCTGGCGGAGGATTTGTTTCTCGACATCCTCTTCTTAGGGTTGGGGCACATAACCTGGATGACTTCTTGCCACATCTTTTGAGTTTTTATTCACGCAACACAAGAGCTGAGGTTTGATATGGTACGAGTTGTTCACAGTGCTTTCCAGGCACTATTTTTGATGACTTTCTACTAGAGAAAATTGTTTTTTAATTCATTTAAATTTGAAATTTAATTTTGAATTTTTCACAATGCTGAAATGGGATAACGTGGTTGTTCAGAGAGGCCTGGTCTGTGCAGACCAAGCAGATTTGAAACACCTGCGTTCCTAGGGCATCTAGGGACATCTGCCTCTCGTACCCTGGGAGGGGACAGTGCCCAGAGAAGCATCACTGCCACTTTCCTGTGTCTCCACCCTGGGGGCAGGAGTACAACATAGTCCAACACAGCTAAAAAGTAATGAGTGTCTCCATCTGTGTGTCTGTGTATACATGTGCATGTGTGCGTGGAGGCCAGAACACAGCTTTGAGTGCTGTTCCCCAGATGCATCCACCTTGGGCTTCTGTTGTGGATTTGTTTGATTGTTTGTGTGTTGGTTGAGGCAGGGTATCTCACTGGCCTGAACTGGCCAAGTAGGCTAGACTGGCCAGCAAGCCCCAGGGATCCACCTGTCCCCACTTCCCCTGAACTGGGATTGTAAGCATGCGCCACCACGTCCAGATTTTTTTTTTTTTTAATGTGGGTTCTATAGATCAAACTCAAATCCTTACACTTGCAAGGCAAGTACTTTATTGCCTGAGATACCCTCCCAGTCTGTTTCCACATGTTAATCTACTTTTCCAGGGAGTACAGTGGGAGAATTTGGTTAGATGTAGGTCCTAAATCAAAGTCACTCAAATATCCATCTTTACGTCCCCTCACTAGTAATGCAGGCCGTTTGATACACATTGAAAAAAAACAAAACAGGTGTGTTTACTTTGCTTGAACCATGTAACAGCAGAGCTGGGGCAACCCAGAGCACAGATATTTATGTCCTACAGCTCTGGAACCTGAAGTTCAGAGTCAGGGTCAGCAGGGCTCTTCTGAGGCCTCGCTCCTCAGCCACAGATGGTGCCTTGCATGGCCCTCCCTGGTCTCTTCTGTGGGCATGTATCCTGTCACCTGCTCCTCCAGGACACCAGCCACATTGGGCTGGGGCAGATGCTGTCACATTCCAAAGTATTAGGGGCTGATGAGGACTTGAGTGTGCTGACTGGAGGACAGACAAACCCAGCTGCCACACCCCTTCTCAAGCAGAAGCCCTTGGATGTGGTGTTGCACCTTGACTGAGTATTCAGAGACCCCCCACACTCTGAGTTGCAGAAGCAGATGTGAACCTACCTTTCCATGAGCAAGAGACTTAAAAGTGTGGGGGTGGCAAGGTTAGGATTTATTTATTTTTGTATTCCTCTGTGTGTGTGTGTGTGTGTGTGTGTGTGTGTGTGTGTGTGCGCGCGCGCGCGCGCACGCTCTCTCTTTCCACCTTGTGGATTCTGGGGATCAAACTCAGATCATCAGTCTTAACAGTAGATGCCTTTACCAGCTGAGCCATCTTGCCGGCCCCTTATATTTCTCTTTACAATTGGAGAGGTGAAATAGAGCAAAGCTGGCCTGTTGGTGTGGCACAAAGGGGAGGGGCTTTGAGCTGAGGAAAGTCCTTCAGAGAAAACAGCCTGACAGTCTGCACCAACACCTGAATATCCAGTTCCCCTCCCAGTTCTTTGATCCCCAGGTGTCCCTGTCCAGCTCAAGCCACATGCGGGGGGAGGGGGGGGTGAGAGTCTGTCCTGCCCTGCCCGCCCCGCCCTCACGTCCCGAGGGACACTAACTCATGCTCCGCTGCCTCCACAGTATGGGGTGGACGTCATGGCCCGAGATGCCCATGGGAACACAGCCCTGGCCTATGCCCGGCAGGCCTCCAGCCAGGAGTGCATCGACGTGCTGCTGCAGTACGGCTGCCCCGATGAGCGCTTCGTACTCATGGCCACTCCCAACCTGTCCAGGAAGAACAGCAGCCGGAACAGCAGCGGGAGGATGCCCAGCGTCATCTGAGTGCAGCCTAGCTGCAGCGGGTATCCCACTGCCTCCAGCCTGCTCCAGGAGGTCATAGCACGTGAGTCCCTCCGCCCCCCCCTTCCTGGTGGTCACCTGCTGTCCACCCGCCACTCACTCAACCCCATGAAATCTCCGAACCTGGACCCCCTCAAGGGGAGAAGAGGAGGCCAGAGGCCGCCGAGCCCATTCCTTTTCACACGCTCCAGAAGCAGCACAGGAGGGACCAACGGCCTCGGGTCTTTGAGCATAGCACATGGCTGGGGGACCCATGTTCTGAGGGCCTAGAGAGACAGTGCCAGGGCCGGGAGGAAAGGAGAGGGGCGACCCCCCTAACTGGCAGTTAAGCACATCAGTACATTTCACCTCTACGGAAAGGAGCACTTGGATTTCACGTCTCCGAGGAGCTTGACGGCGTAAATCAGAAGCAAGCACAGAGTTTGTCAGGTCTGAAGCCCTTATGATGGTAGGTGTCAAATCAGTTGTAGCTAATCTGTCCAGGGAGAATGCTGGCTTCATTACACTTGTATAGTCGAGTTCGCCCAGCATTACTGCTGTTTAATAGAACATGATTAGTCATCACCGGGAAGAAAGCATATTAGCCGAGGAGGTAGTTACGTGGCACGCTCCGGTGATTGCCACGATGTGATTGCAATACTCTTAGAAGCATCATATTATCCCAGACATCTCTCCAGCCCTTGGAGCCCTCCTTTCTAAATTCACTGTCATAATTTAGTATCTGTTTAATTTCTCAGTCCAAAGAGAGGAACTCAGTTGCCGGGTATTATCTGACCCCATTCTCCTTGGTTAAAAAACAAAATGGAAAAAAATAAATAAATAAGAATAACTGGGGAATTCAAAAAGAAATCATGATTTTGGCCGAAAACCGCTTCTCAGGTGTTTCATGAACTCAGTAAATATGGAAAAGGTTATTTTTTTCCTAAGAGAGATTTCTGTCCTTTGGCTGCGGGGACAGATAGGTCTCAGGCTCTCCCAGTCCACATGGTCTGAGTTACCCAGGTTCCTGCCTCAGATACGATGTGTGAAAATCTATTTGAATAAAAGAAGTTCATAAATATGCATTGATTTTTGTACAGACAAATGGCACCTCTGTTGATTTATAAAGTGAACTGGATGTGAACTAATACCATGCAGCTAGTTGAGATCAGAGGGTTGCAGAGCACATGGAATGTGTTCCCAGCAGCAAGCACTTTCGTTAATGTGGTGCACAGCCTGGTAAAGGAGCCCATCACAATAAGACAGCGGTACAGTTTGCTTATTAAAATCAAAAGGGGGGAGAAGCAGGTTAGAAAGGGAAGGGTGTGTCTCGACCCACGGGCAGGATTGAGATCTAAGACCACTCTTGCCAACAAAGTGAGGGGCTGAGGCAGGAAGGGGTGAGTCTCTGACTGCCAGACCGAGGCACTTTCACCATGGCACCTCGTGAGCAGCTGTTAATGGTGTGGGCTCCGCTGCAGGCCCTGCTCAGCCCAGCCTCTGGCCCTAGCACTGTGCCTGATTTGCCAGCCTGGGTGCAGGGTACTTCAGACACTGACCACCTTCAGCATGGCAGTCAGACCAGAACACCAAACCGTGACACATAAAAGAAAAGAGGCCTTGCTAGTGGGCCTGTGTGGCACAGGGGAAGACAGGAAGCCGGGCCTACTTGAGCCGAAGTCCAGAGATGCAAAGCCACATACGGCTGGCGGTCTGCGGAGACCTTCCCTGCTCTCACATGTTAAACCTTATATTTTGTAAGAGTTTTTCCTCCTCTTCCACTTTTTAAAAAAAAATTTAAAGTAGATCGGAACAAAAATAAAGCTTTAAACAGAATTTATATGTGGGCGTTTCGTGGAGATTTCTAAACTTAATACAGCTTGGTGGAACTAACCAGTGTCCAGAAAAACGTCACAGGTGCGGAAGCCACAGGTCTAGCCTCCCAGCCCCGGTTCCACAAGCCCTCTATTTAATTTTCCGTCTGCGATTCATCACTGTGTAGTTATTTTAAATGTGAATAGAGAAAACGAGATGGTGTTGGCTATTTTTGAAGAGTGCATCCGCATCTAATCCCGCAATCCGCATTCGCCTCCACGTAGCCTTTACCGTAGACTTTCTGTAGAGAAACACAGAGTATAAATGAGATTCTTAAATTATTTCATTGTAGTTAATTCCCACTGTAGGAATGCTTTTATCATAGCAGAGCCTGCTTCCGAAGAGAGATGAAATTCCTCCTAGGGCTTCTGTCCGGGGTGTACATGAGTGTGTACATATTATTATATGTGTTTATAATGTAATATTTTCCCACATGACTTCTTCTTTCATGTCACCTTTCACAGCCCAAATGCACGATGGCTCACTCCTGTTCCCTCCCTCTGTCGCTCTGACATCATCAGTTCTTCCTCAGAACACAAGGTCCCTCCCCTTCCGGTTTTAGCCACACTGAACTATCCAAGAAGCAACTGCTTTTCGTGAGCCTGAGTTTTGGCAGCAGCTGGAGGCCATAGTGGGGCCTTCAGGGTTTTCTGTGCAGATGAGGGAGAGTACACTAAGTGGCTAGCCTGTGTTTGTGCTTCACTGTCAGACCCCACGTCCTTTTCTCCCCAGAGGCCTTCCAACGCCTTCTTGCCCCGGTTTTCAAGCTAACTCCATGGCTGAGTAATGCAAGGGCCAGGGGCCAGCGTTAGAAGTGACCAGCATGGGGGTGGGGGTTGGGATCTCATTGAAAATATTCCCACCAGTAAACACTTCCTTTGATGTGATACACAACTTTTAAAAAGGAACATCGGAAGCCAGGCGTGGTGGCGCACACCTTTAATCCCAGCACTCGGGAGGCAGAGGCAGGCGGATCTCTGAGTTCAAGGATAGCTGGGCCTACAGGATGACCCTGTCTCAAAAAGACCAAAAATAAAAATAAAAGGAACATCTGAATAAGATGGTGCAATTTGCTTTAAAATCAAGAAAACGAGCAGGAAAAAGGCAGGGAGGCCGGTTGGAGCATAAAGCCTGTGAGCTGCAGTTCCGAAGGCAGGATTCAGGTCTGAGACCACTTTTGCCAGCCAGGAGCGTGGGGCCCCAAGGGATGGCCATGAGAAGCCCTGCCCTCCCCATGACCTGTGTTCAGGACGAGCATTCTCTGTTGATGGGTCGTAGCCAGCTGGGGCAGGCTCAGACAGGCTGTGCATCCAACTACATGGCTCTTCTGCTTCAAGATATCCCGGCACCACCACTGCTGCCCAGGTGGGCAGTTGCTGAACTGCGTGAGACTCAGAGTTGCCTGGATTCCTCAGTGACCTAGAAAACCCTTCAGGGAACAGGTGCTGTGATTCCAGCCCCACAAGAGCAGACCTCAGTGGACAGGGGTTGACCAAGCCTAGCACCTCAGTCATGACCCTGTCCATCTCCTTGGGAGTGAGCAAGGGACACCTCCTTTGGTCCCATTCTCCCGGTAAGATCACAGTTTATGTAGCATAGAACCCTGGGGAGGTAGAGGGTCAGTCCTTATTGACATGCATTGGTTTAATGATGCGGGGAGGGAATGAACCCAGGATCTCACATAGTAGATCACTGAACCACATCACCCCATCCGAGTCCCTCCTCGATGACCAGCATCACACCTGGCTCTGAGATGGATGCTCAAGAAACCAGAAATACGGAATAAGACCAAAAGGAACAGGTTGGGATGCGGCTTGGTGTAGAGAACCCGCCCAGCATAAGCAAGGCCATAGTGTCCATCTCCAACATCCTAAAAAGTTGCACACACTAGACATCTGTCCCAGCTGAACCTATGTCCTGGGGATGCAGCGATGGGACCAGCTGCCTCCTGGTGTAGCCCTGGAGCTGGCACTGTCCCTCCTGAGGTGCCTGTGAGCAGGAACGATGCCATGGGAAGAGAACGAGGCACTCTTGAGCCTGCTCCCTCCAAGTTTTTAGTCTGGCTTTCCAGAGCAGAGCAGAGCTGAGTGCAGCCCACCCCATCCCCACTTGTCACTCGTGCCTGAGGTTAGACTCCTCCCCTCCAGTCTTGCAGTGCTGTTGGCTTGTCAGTCTCCCTCACCTCGTAGTCACATGAGGCTGCTAGGACACACACATGCATTGGTCCTCATTTCAGTGTCCTGTCCCCCTAACTTTGAGAATCTTAGGCCTTGGGTGTCGGTGCCTCTATCTACCCCCAGGGTCTCTGCCTTTTCCTCCCTGCATTTAGGCTGTTTCAGGACTGACCGGGGGAACCTCTGTCCCTGTCTGGTGACACAGAAGACCCACAACATTGTAGCTGAGAAGGCATGTGATCAGGGCTTCCCAACTTCCAGGAGACAAAGGTCTTCAAGGAGCAAACCCAGGCCTGTTGACCGGCTCTCCTCAGCTGCTCTGTCTCTGTCCTTCCCACCCTACGAGGTCGCCAAGGCTTTGCTAGAACTCCTCTGGCTTGTATTTCTGACCTTGAAGCAAACAAATTGAAAAGCAGTCAGGAAGGAATTTGAAGTGTGGCACTGATGCCTTTTCTTCAAAGGAAATGAATTTATCCCCCACTGCCTCCTCAGACTCGGGCCCCTGTCAGGATGTCACAGCCTGGGGTGAGCTCACCTTTGCCCTCACCAGAGCTAAGTCAGGACCTTTCATATCCAACACGAAACCTCCTCTACCAGTGTGTCTCTTAGATTCCAAGTGACCAGGAGAACCACCGGACCCTGCTGTCTCATGTCAGGCCTAGATGGGGCCCAGTGGTTCAAGCATCTGAATTAGGGAGGTTTTAGCCAAAATGTCACATTCCTTCCAGTAAGGTGGGAAAGAGAAGGGAAGGGCCAACAGTCCTGGGACTTTCATTCCCATTACTGGACCCAAGAAACAGAGACACGTGATTACAGACGCCAGCGTCTGTCAGGGCTCATCTCTTGCTTCGTGGGGAAGGACGCCACTGACCCAGTCAGGCCTTAGTGTCCCAGACAGTCTTTTCCCCCTCGGGAAGTCCCATTGTGACAAGGAGCATTTTCAGACACTAGGATTACCTATTCCGTGGGTACACCTGCTGATTCTTAAACAAGAGTCTACACCCTGAGTCAAAGTTCAATGGACATTTCATCTGTGGTGGTTTCTTTGTTTTGGCAAGCCTGGGTCAGGCATGTTTAAGAGCTGCCAGTCCAGTGACCACCTGCCCAGAGATAGTGGCACAGCAGGAGTCCACATGTAACCTGTCTTCTGGTCCCTAGTTTGGAGGAGCCGATTTTGCTACAAAGCGGCCTTTGATTTGGGGTTTGCTCCTGTCTGCTCAAAACATTCTTGGGGCCTGGAGGTGGCAGTGGGCGCTTTGGGGTCTAAGAAGGCCTCGGTGAGTGAGTGAGAGCTCGGCTCAGGGCTTTGCCTTTTTCCTTTTTCTGTTTTTCTGGCCTGCATGTGGCATCTTCAGTTGTCCCCCTGGGAGGGTCGTGAATGAAGCCATATGATGGACTTTCCCGCCAAAGACAATGATTGCTCTGGAATTCTATGTGCAGGGAATTGCATAGCCTTTGTCTTGTGAAAGGAAGGAACCAAGAGGTGTGAGTGTGGATGGGGGGGGGTCATAACAGTGAGCAGAGCCCCTTAGCACACGGCTGCTAGAACAGCCACCCCCAGATCGCATTGTCCCCTAATCTCCAGGTGCTGGACTATGTCCACACTAGCCCAGAAAGCTGCAAAGAGAAAAGCTTGGAGTGTGTGGGTTAGATGAGGGGTGTCCTGAGTAGAAAGACCTGCGTGGCCAGAAACCAGAACCTTAGAGAGTCCTCCAGCCATAGCTGAGGTGCTTGCAAGGGACCTGACCCATCTGGCTCACCAGGGTGGACAGAAAAGGGACCAAGCATGCCGAGAACTGTTGCATGTCAAAACATGGCTCCTGGCTCTGGTCTGGCGCCCACAGCACGCCTGTTGGTTCTGCAGTTTTGTCACCAGGACAGGACTGAGGGTGCTAGGGGGTTGAGTAGAGACCTGGCTGCTCGATGACAGACAGGCAAAAGATGCTTTCAAAACAGCTCTGTGGCATTAAGAAGGGGCCAAGACCTGCACCAGCCTGTTGGAAATAACCCCCACACACACTTGCAAAGCATCCCGCTTACCTCCCCACACTGTTTTGAAGTTTGTTTTTTTATACAGTCTTAAAGCTTCTTGAGATCCCAGCCCTGAAAACCTGAAAGGGGTCTGTGTTGAGCTCCCAGTAGGCACAGGATGTGGCCTGCCCCTGACAGCAGCCTGGGGCTAGACCTGCAGAGCCCAGGGTCCTTAGGTGGTTCTCTTCCTTCTGCTTGTCCCTTCCCCTCCTCTGTTGAGGTCCTTATCTTGCCATGAGAATTTCTTTCCTAAGAGAAACCCCAGAGCAGGTCAGGTGACACTGAGACACATTTCTGGGTGGGGACAGGGAAAGCCCCTGGGCCTCCTTGAGTGCAGTTAGTCACCTGTTGTAGCCAAGAGCACAATGGGGGAGTCTCCGGGGGTGGGTGGTCCGTCCGGGTTGTTTTATATTACCTCATTCGCAGTTTTGTTTCCCGATGGATGATTGATGCTTTATTTATGTGTTTGTACTGTAATTAAACCATCCGCAGACATTTCGCTTGTTAATTCCTATGACCTTGTTCAGATTAAATATGCGGTTTGTATTTTCCTGCCTTGGGATTTTCTGTGTCAGCTGTACAGTATTCTAAGAGGAAAAGAAAAAGAAAACCGTGTAAAGTAATGGAGAGAGGTGGCTAGAGTGTAGAGACCTCTTTCTAATAAAGACGCGAGAATATGTCGACATTGCTTCCGTGCAGTTCTTGGTGGTGGGGGGTCATTTGTCACAACTGATTGGTTTTCCACTCCCAGAGAAGGTAAGGCAGAGAAGAGGGGGTTTTGACTGCTCATGGGAGGCTTGTCCTAGACACAGGCCACCCACACCTGAGGGAACCAGCCTGTAGCCTACAGCCAGAGACCAGAAAATAGGGCCCAGGAAGGTGGACGAACGTCTCCTCCCCGTCCTCATTCACAGGGATAGAAATGCTGACAGGCACCTTGATACTTAACCTTTTAGTGTGGCCCCTCCCAACTTCCTCACAAGTGGCAGGGATGTGGCAGTCAGCTAGAAGATGCATCCAGACCTCAACCCCATTATTAATGCAGTTACTATTGTGATTATTATTACAACTTCCTCATACAAAATACGTTGTATCATTACACCCAGATCAAAAGAGTATAGAGAAGATGACACCCCCAACACCCCCATGGAGCCCTCCGCAGTGTGGGAGGGAGGGCACCACTCAGTACGCCTGTGAGGACTATGGCTGTCCTTGGCCCCTCTCCCCTGGCAGGTTGCCCTCTGTGTACAGGGTGCGTCATGAACCATCCCAGCCCTCAGTGTGCACACATGACCCCACACATGACCACATACCCCAGCAACGTGTCTTCCGGAAAATAAGCAAAGAAAGACTTGGGAGTACACCGACTTCCACATTGTTTTTTTGTCTTTGGTAACATTTAAAAAGCAGCATACGTAAATTAAAAGTTTCAAATCTTGGTCTACAATACTGTCGTGCCCACCTGTAGCTAAGGGAGACAACCAGCTACCGTTCTAAAATGATGGATAAATTTGTTTTCTCCCCCTATCTAGAAGCCTTTGAGAGGGAACTGACACTGATTCTAACCACTCCAACAGCTATCAAAATGCCTGAAAGCAAATCCTGA